CCCCCCGCCCCTCTCCCATGCTTATGCTCTCTCTAAAATAAAACTGAAAAACATTTTTTAATTGCTTCTTTTTCATTAAGTTCCTGGAGAAGGGAAAATTTCGGGATTTGCAAGTGAATAATGGTGGTAGAGATGTAAAAAACTGGTTGGGTGAGCTTCTCAGAACTACAGGACAGCCATTTAATAGAAGCTAAAAATCAAGTGGCATGATAGGAAATAGGGAGAATCGAAGGGTACGAAATTGAGGGTGTCTGAAAAGACTTGGTGAAATCTTTTGGTTTTTATGAATTGTTCCTGGTTATGAAAACATTAAGATTATTTGGGGGGAGATTTTCCTGGGAAAAAAGAGGAGGGGCGCCTAGGTGGCGCAGTCGGTTAAGCGTCCGACTTCAGCCAGGTCACGATCTCGCGGTCCGTGAGTTCGAGCCCCGCGTCGGGCTCTGGGCTGATGGCTCAGAGCCTGGAGCCTGTTTCCGATTCTGTGTCTCCCTCTCTCTCTGCCCCTCCCCCGTTCATGCTCTGTCTCTCTCTGTCCCAAAAATAAATAAACGTTGAAAAAAGAGTAAAAGAGATCCTTATTCTCTTGCTATAACCACTGAGAACACTAATGAGTGAGCTATAGTTTCATCTATTTATTATAAAATTAGAAGGAAACTATATAATTTTTTTCCTGTTTAGTCTACTGATAACGTAGTATAAGCATTATTTTTTTAAATTTATTTTAATGTTTATTTATTTTTGACAGAGAGAGAGAGACAGAGCATGAGTGGGGGAGGGGCAGAGAGAGAGGGAGACACAGAATCCGAAGCAGGCTCCAGGCTCTGAGCTGTCAGCACAAAGCCCGACAGGGGACTCAAACTCACAGACTGCGAGATCATGACCTGAGCCGAAGTCGGATGTTCAACCGACTGAGCCACCCAGGCGCCCCTAGTATAAGCATTATTAAATAATCTTTTAAAATTAAAAAAAATCATGGTTATAACATATAACATAAAATTGATCATCATAACCATTTTTTTAAACTCTCTTTTTTTTTACTGTTTATTCATTTATTTTTGAGAGAGAGAGAAAGCTGGGGAGGGACAGAGAGAGAAAGAGAGAGAGAGAATCTCAAGTCCAATGTGAGGCTCAAACCCATTAACTATGAGATCATGACCTGAGCCGAAATCAAGAGTTGGCTGCTTAAACCATTTTTAAGTGTACAGTTCAGTAGTGTTAAGTATATTCACATTTTTATGCAACAAATCTCTACACCTTTTTCGTTTTGTAAAACTGAAGCTTTATACCTTTTCAACAACTCCCCATTTCCCTCTTCCATCAGCCCTTGGCAACCTCCATCCTACTTTCTGTTTCTATGAATTTGACTATTTTAAATACTTCCTATGAGTGGAATCTAAAATGTTAAGTTTAATGGGCTGTCAAACATTCCATCACATGAATGTACCAAACTTTATTTAGCAACTACCTTATAGTTGGCTAGTTAAATTTGTTGCCATAAGTAATTACAACGCAGCAAGAATTTCTTGCATGTAAATCACATTCTGACCATTTTCTCAGGACAGATACCTAGAAATCAGATTACTAGATTAAAGGGCATGGACATTGTCTGCAAATGACATCTTTTTAGAAATTATATTTTCTAACTGTTGAACGTTATCTTTTTGTACATTCAATTTTTAAATATTTAACACTCTTGGTACATTTGGAAAATGGCTTTCCAGAAACTTTTTGGCAATTTGTGCTGCCACCTGAAGAGCATGAAGGTCACTGAGAGTCTCCAGAGGCTCCCTTAACAGCTTTGAGTATTACCGCTTAAAAACCCTTTGCCAATATTTTTAGATTAAAAATTAGAATTTTAAATGAATGTATAGCTCTTTCATTAATAGTAAGATTAGCAGCATGCCATTTTGGATCATGTAATTTTCTTTTTTCCTGTATAAATTAATTTGTCTTTAGTTTTCCCTTTTCTTTCTAAAGCACCCCATTATAACATTGTAAAATTAATTTTAGAAAGTAAACTTTATACTTTTCTATATTTCTATAGTTAACACCCCATAGTGGAAGACTTAGAACCTGGGTTTAAGCATCTTTTATTCTGGGGCACCTGGGTGGCTCAGTCGGTTAAGAGACAGACTCCTGATTTCCGCTCAAGTCATGATCTCACTGTTTGTGAGTCTGAGCCCCCATCAACCTCTGCGTTGACAGTGGGTGGCGGGGTGCAGCCTGTTTGGGATTCTCTGTCTCTCTGCTTCTCTCTTTCTCAAAAATAAATAAATAAAAAGGGGCACCAGGGTGACTCAGTCGGTTGAGTGTCCAAAATCGGCCCAGGTCATGATCTCAAGGTTTGTGGGTTCAAGCCCCACTTCTGGTCCTGTGCTGACAGCTCCCGGCCTGGAGCCTGCTTCAGATTCTGTGTCTCCCTCTCTCTCTGCCCCTGTCCTGCTCACCCTCTCTGTCTCTCTCAAAAATAAATTAACATCAAAAAAATAAACATTAAAAAAAGAATCTTTTGTTCCGATCCTTAGGGCCATGTA